TTAAAAAAAGATTACCATTAAATTTTTTAAGTTGGTCAATTTTTTCATTTTTTTCTCAATCCATATGAGTTTATGCACGGGAAACCTTGACTTACAACTTTGTTAGGAAAATTATTGGATGGAACAACAACTTGTTAGCATTTGCACTTTCGTATTTGTTATGGTCCTTACGGATTGGGAAGACCTTGACTTACAACTTGTTAAGAAAGTTATTGGACAATAAAACTTGTTAAAATTTGCACCTTCATGATAGTTGTGGATGGGGAAGACTTTGAATGACAACTTTGTTAGGAAAATTATTAGATGGAATAACGTGTTAGCATTTGCACTTCGTATTTGTTCTGAATGGGAAGACCTTAACTTACAAGTTGTTAGGAAAATTATTGGATGAAATAACAACTTGTTAGAATTTGCACTTTCATTGTAGTTGTGGACGGGGAAGACCTTGACTAATACAACTTGCTAGGAAAATGATCGGATGGAAGAACAACTTCTAGGTGGGAATGGAATTAGTTTTTTTTATGCTTTTAATTAGCATATGTCTAGTTTGAAAGAAATAAAAGGGAAATGACAAGAGTGATGTTAGTAATAACAACTTGTTAGAATTTGCACTTTCATTATAGTTGTGGACGGGGAAGACCTTGACTAATACAACTTGCTAGGAAAATGATAGGATGGAAGAACAACTTCTAGGTGGGAATGGAATTAGTTTTTTTATGCTTTTAATTAGCATATGTCTAGTTTGAAAGAAATAAAAGGGAAATGACAAGAGTGATGTTATTAATAACAACTTGTTAGAATTTGCACTTTCATTATAGTTGTGGACGGGGAAGACCTTGTCTAATACAACTTGCTAGGAAAATGATCAGATGGAAGAACAACTTCTAGGTGGGAATGGAATTAGTTTTTTTATGCTTTTAATAGCATATGTCTAGTTTGAAAGAAATAAAGGGGAAATGACAAGAGTGATGTTATTAATAATAATAATAATAAATATATATTTTATCTTCAAATTAAGTTTTTAGAAACAATTTATATTTTTACATTTTTTTTGGTAAATAGAGAGATATTTTTACTAACATTAAAAAAAAAAAGATAAAGATAAAGATGTACATATTTATAATGGGATATATAATTAAAATTAAAGGATAATATAAGATGAAAGTCTAAAAAAATTTATCTTCTCTAAAATATGAAAAATGACTATTAATCTGAAATAAATTCAAATAAAACATCTATTTTTTTGGGGAGAAGGCATCTTCGTGCTGATTTGGAGGGAAAGTCCTCCCCTTCTCCCCAACAAGTATGAAGATTCATTGTCTCTATCTGTCCCAAAAAAGAAGCAAACCTTGACATTTATCATTCACAATTTCGTGCTAGTTAGGGAGGTGAAAGTGCCTAAAAAAAAGGGTTATGGACGGGGAAGACCTTGACT